TATCTTAAAATGCAATTCGTTTCCGGTTTGCATCTTGGGGGGTGGAAATGTTTCGTCCTATATTATTAATTTTTTATTTTTATTTCGGGTTAGTATAATTATTATTATTATCAGACTCAACTACGAAAGAGAATGGTTTGAGCAAAAAATAATGTTATCATTCAGTAAATACGGGTTTTTTATCGTGTATTCGAAAGAGAGTTTTTGTTGCAAAAAAGGGTTTCCGGACAAGAAATATCAGAGACAGCATTCGATATATAGAATTTATCGAGAACACATCGTGGTCGAATATTTTATGCAGTTGTGGTTTTGAGTGCAGTTTTTGTGCATACGAACATTGATCCCATTATCAGATCCCGTGAGATTATTGGGGTAAGGTAGGCCTACCAAGGAGAATTCAAGATACAGCCCGACAAAACACGGCTACATTACAGTCCACGATATCGGGTGAGCCTATTTCAACCATTACTCTCATTTCTCGTTTCGTCGATTTATCGAACAACCATTGACACTCCAACAAGTAGTATGGCAAAAAATCAGATGCCTTAGAGGAAGAAAATTTGCATCACCGTCCCCAGTTATATCTGTTGACGATCAATTGATTACAGATCAGTTGGAAATTGTCGAACATCTTGCCAAATATTTCGAACAAGCCAGCTCTTCAGAAAATTACTCGCCTACGTTCACTGAAATCAAACGTGTCTCTGAAATACCATTGAACTCCAACTCTATTACACCTACTTCATATAATGTGCCTTTCTCTCGACATGAATTAGACGAAGTACTAAGCACTTCTGAGAAATCTGCACCAGGTCCTGATGAAATCCCATATGATTTTATATATAACATGGGTAATGGCTTCATAGGACGCTTATTCTATCAAAAATGGACTATGGATGTGTAGTATATGGAACTGTTAGAAAATCTCACTTGAAATCGTTGGATGGTATGAGGCTGAGATTGGCCACTGGTGCATTCCGTTCAAGTCCATTAACCTCACTCCACTGTGAAACTGGTATGCAACCCTTAGAATACCGAAGGAATATATTATTGTTGAATTACGGTTCAGGTATTTGTGCAGAAGCAAACCCCCATGATCGAATTTTATTTCGTCCTGGTGAGGAAATGGATATGTATCAGAGACGAACAACGATAATGAGACCAGCAGAAATTCGTTTTCAAGAACTCTCACGGAATTCAAATTTAATTCTACCTTCATTTCATAACATCGGGCCATGTGAAGTTCCTTCATGGAGAATAATCTCGCCTACTATACATCTACAATGTGCAGCGTTTAAGTAGGACGAAACTGATGAAATAATGTATTTGAACGCACTTAATACTATAATCGACACATATGCGAATAGTCTAATAATTTATACTGATGGCTCTAAGACTGAAGAAGGTGTGGGTAGTGCATTTTTTTCCCTTGGAGAGAGTTATTCCTTCCACCTTCTGCGAGTATCTATACTGCTGAACTATAATAATATGCAATTTGGCAAGCTTTCAGATATGCGGAAACGCAGCCATATGATACTACTCTGATATGTTCAGACTCCCTCAGTGCGATACAAGCACTAAGAGATGTATATAATGATCATAATTCGTTTATTCAATACAAAAAGCTATACATATACAACTCGTATTCCATTGACACTATGATAAACGTGTGGGACAGACCAGAAGTACAAAGTACTTGTGTGGTTGATCTAATTATTATGATATAGCATTTGATCATTAATCTCTAAAAGAACTACGTTCTTGATAATGAGAATGTGTGATTGGCCACCTTTTATAATATCAATCAAAATATATAGAGTTATTTCATAGCATCATTCATATATAATATAAAACAATAATCTACGTGTATATAGAATAACTAAATTTGAGGAATATAATGACAACTAGAAGATAGTAAATATGGATAATTCCTGGAATCAAAATAATAACAAGATCAACAGACATATTATTAAGGACATGAGGAATTGATAAATAATAGTCATTTAACTATACAAAGTAAGGAAATATTATACATAATATGAGTAGGCGAAGTAAGGTAAGCATTATTTTTCATTTTTTTATTACCAATTTTAGTTTTGAGTAGTTATTGATAATTTCGTGAAGAGCCATTCTGGGTGTTTCATAAAGCCATTTTATAACTTGTTTTTTGAATTTGAATTTGATGTTCGAGTTTTTCATTTCAAGCGGAAGAAGATCAAACAATTTTAGTGCTAAGTGAGTATGATTCCTTGAATCAATTGTCTTTCTGTTATTGGGTTTGTGTGTCACTGAGTTTTCATTTCTTGTGTTATGGGGATGTTGTTTATAACGGATTATGTGTTTATTTCTGAAGAGGTACATCAATATAGTGTTTGGCCGTATATTTGTCTCAAGTCCAAGATACCTGATTCTCGATATAGGCTATCTGTTGGATGAGTGCGTTTCTTGTTGAATACAATTTTCAAAATCCATTTTTGTACAACTCCGACATTTTTCACAAAAGTATCGGTAGCACTACCCCATCGTATTATACCATAAGACAGTTGTGACTGTACAAGGAAGTAGTACAATATCATTAGTTGTGGTATTGACAAGAGTTGCTTAAGGATTTTGAACTTGGGTAATAACATTCCTAATTTCGACACTAGATAATTCGTTTGCGAATCCCATAAAAAATATCTGTCTTTCATAATGCCGAGATATTTGATGCTCCTTGCCGCTTCAATTTCAGTGACGGTTTTTCCGGAATTATCGAGAATATTCAGTGTATAATAATCAGGTAAGTGTGTTTGATAGCATGTGAAAGGTAGATATTTGGTTTTGTCAGAATTCACTGTTAGTACATTCATGTCGAACCAATGATTTATTATCAGAAAATCAACTTCGACTATATTTTTCAACTGTTGCCAAGTATCTATAGATTACCACTGTATCATCTGCAAAACTGAGCATCTTACCCTTCTTGCTAATATCAAGCAGGTCATTTATGTAAATGTTGAATAGAACCAGACCAAGTACTGTGCCTTGAGGTACACCGTGTGCAATCATCATCATCTCACTCTTAATGTTATCAATCTGAACGTATTGTTGTCGATCTGTGAGATAGTCTCTGATCAGGTCTAGCAGTTTTCAAGATTTTCATAAATCAAATTCGTTGTTTTAGCTATAGTATCTTCTGTATTCTTACCTGATTGAAATCCGAATTGTCTCTCTGAGATAATATTATGTTTTTGTAGAAATCTGTCGATTCGAGATTTGATAACAAAGATCCGATGATCAAAGTTTTACTGGCACTGATGGATTGGCTAGGTCAACAAAACAAACATATATGTCTTATATGGATCCCAGGACATGAAGGAATATATGGAAATGAGTTGGCAGATCAAGCAGCGAAAAATGCAGCAAGTGTGAACGTACCTGAAAATATTTTAGTGAGACACGAAGACTTGAAAGCATACATGGAAGGTATTATAATCAATAAATGGCAGCATGAGTGGAGTAATACTAAAGCTAAACTCAAGGAAATAAAACCGTTTGTAACTAAATGGCACTATCCAATAAACCATTCAAGGAGAGACCCGGCTTAGAATCGGTCATGCAAACCTGACATCAATGTTCATGCTCAGAAACGAACGACAACCAAGATGCGAATTCTGCAGAACTGCTCGCCCAACCGTGAAACACTCTTTGGTGGAATGCCCTCAATACAATGAAATTCGTCACCAACTTGCCCTATCTGCTGACTTGAGAATATGTCTCAGCAATAACACGAGAGAAACTGATAAACCGATAAGATTCCTGAGAACAACAGAATTATTGAAAATGAATGTATAAGTTAGCAACCAGAAGGTATGGATGGCCAATGACCTAAGTAGTCGACGCCGAGACCCACAAAAAAAAATGATAATATTGATGATAATAATAATAAAAATTTGAAAACAAAATATTCTGAAGAAAAGAATTTGCATTCTTCTTCATATAAAGATATGCATATAATATTATTCTGAATATTCAACAGGAAACAACTACTTTCCTGGCTATTTGCCACGTCGAACATATCTGCTGAATATTCAAAAAGGGAGCATGAAAAATCAAATTCCTCTGAAGTTGAGAATTGACATTACCTCTCAAATCGAATGGAATAATATGTGTGTTCAATAGATGTAATACAATATTCGTCGTGGCATATAGCCAGGACAGTAGTTGTTTTCTGTTGAATAAACCAAGGAAGAATTAATAGTTTCATCACATGGAGGATGCGAATTCTCAATGTATTTCTTTATATATATATATCCATTTTTCGTGTCCATAAATATATCTGTGAATATTCCTTTTCAATATCTCTGATATGATTTCATAATTTCAACCCCTGAAAATATACGCAGTAGGCCTTGGTTTTCTTGTAGCAAAAAAATGTGTAGTCATGAGAAACAGTTATTTGAGCTCCACAATTCAAAATAAGAAATTGGTAAATTGATACAATATTTATTGAGGTGTCCCGCTCTTAAGTGGGTCACAATGTATGGTTAACATATTGACCTCTCATTTACAGAGATCCTGTATAAAGTTCAAATAAATCAATATACTGAATTCAAACGAGCTATTTCATCAATGTAGGAAACAGAATCGTTTCAAATTCCGAACAAGAAATTTGATTTATGCAATATCACACAATAAGGTTTTCAATTTGGAAATACAATATATTGTACTCAGGTTCTTCATTAGTGGAGGGCAAATAACATCGGTCTCTAACATGTTCCAATCATAAATCGAAATCTTATATTAAGTTGAGCATTTGATTGACAAGTCATGATATCGGGAATTTTGAATATTTTAGAACCGATGATAGATAGATGAAAACCGATTGATCCATCACAACGAAAACACTCGTATCACTGTCAAAATATCTATTGTTTTTCACAAGTTGTTAGATAAAAACTTGAATCAAGTGTTTGGCACTGATTAAGATTTGATATATAAATCTATCAGCTATCAGGGTCAATATGAGTTATGTTTGAGAGACTGAAACTAATCATGCTATTCTCAACGATCATTGCAATACTGTGTTTATCAGTGGTGAATGGGCAAACAACGCTGGACAAAAATGGGGTAGGCTTCAACAATGGGTATTACTATTCATTCTGGAAAGATAGCGGTGACGCTACCTTCACCCTCAACGCAGGCGGCCGTTACGCTAGCAACTGGACCACCAGAACCAACAACTGGGTAGGCGGAAAAGGCTGGAACCCTGGAAGCAGTTCACGAACAGTTCACTATTCGGGTTATTTCGGGATTAACGCCAATGCCAACTCCTACCTCTCACTCTACGGCTGGACCACCAACCCCTTGATCGAGTATTACGTGGTGGAGAGTTATGGCTCTTACAATCCGGCCAGCTGTGCAGGCGGCACTGACGAAGGCAGTTTCAATAGTGGGGGCGCCACTTATCAAGTTCGCAAATGCAGGCGCACCAACCAACCTTCGATCATCGGAACCCAATCCTTTGACCAATATTTCAGCGTGAGAACCCCAAAATTAGGATTTGGTCAAGTGTCTGGCTCAGTCAACTTTGCCGATCACGTTCGATACTGGGCGAGCAGAGGCTTGCCGCTGGGCAAACACGATTATCAAATTATAGCAACCGAAGGCTATCAGAGCAGTGGTTTTTCTGATATCACTGTGAGCTAGGATACTGGAGAAAGCATGAAGTAAACTCTTTTCAGATAATGAAATATTTCAACAATTGTCAAACTGATCCATATATCATAAAATAAAAGCAAATGAAGGTATCTTTATCTAATTTTTGTTAAGGTCAAGCCAAATATTAATCATGTGGATCACTTCGGTCCCGGATAAGAGAGAGTCTGTTGTCATATTGGTTGAATTTAGGGTTATTATGAATCTGAGAAAAATTCTTTTTGTGTCTATCAAACTTGTTCTTGATGATTCTTCTTATTAAAGTTTCGTTTTTTCTTTCTAGTTCAAATGAACTACTGAGGAGGCCTTAGAATTACTGCAAAACTAAGTATGTCAACGTTGTTGAATTGACAAATAAAAACTGAATGAGCTAGATGAGATTGTAAATGTATGTACATACCTGACTAATGTATTCAAATATTATGATGAATTGAATTAATCATAATATATTTTCATCATTCAATAAAATTGATTTCCTGTATCTGATTTCTAATAATTTGACGTTGTTAGTGCCCAATTTACACATGAATTTCTGCATTTCTGTAATTGAGTTTCCATAACTATGTCATTTTTGTTCTGACCCCGTTCTTGTGGAACAGTTCAGTTGTTTTGAGAAAGTATATTTTCATGAATTTTCTCTTATATATAATATTCATTCAGAGTATGTTATGGCTCTCACAATCCGGCCAGCTGTGCAGGCGGCACTGACGAAGGCAGTTTCAATAGTGGGGGCGCCACTTATCAAGTTCGCAAATGCAGGCGCACCAACCAACCTTCGATCATCGGAACCCAATCCTTTGACCAATATTTCAGCGTGAGAACCCCAAAATTAGGATTTGGTCAAGTGTCTGGCTCAGTCAACTTTGCCGATCACGTTCGATACTGGGCGAGCAGAGGCTTGCCGCTGGGCAAACACGATTATCAGATTATAGCAACCGAAGGCTATCAGAGCAGTGGATTTTCTGATATCACTGTGAGCTAAGATACCGGAGAAAGCATGAAGTAAACTCTTTTCAGATGATGAAATATTTCAACAATTGTCAAACTGATCAATATATCATAAAATAAAAGTAAAAGATCGATTGAAGGTCTCTATATCTAATTTTTGTTAAGCCAAATATGAATCATGTAAAACACTTCGATCCCGGATAAGAGAGATTCTGTTGTCATATTCTTTGAATTTAGGGTATATGAATCTGAGAGAGATGCGTTTTCTTTTTGTTTCTATCAAGCTTGTTCTCAATGATTCTTCTGATTGAAGTTTCTTTTGTTCCTAGATCGAATGAATCACTGAAGAGGCTTCAGCATTACTGCAAAACTGAGTGTGTTAACGTTGCTAAATTGACAAATAAAAACTGAATAAGCTAGATGAGATCGAAAATGTATATACTTGACTAACTTATTCATATATTATAATAAATTGAATTTATCGTGATATATTTTCATCATTCAATAAAATTGATTGAAATCTTTCTGTTTTTGATTCCTTACCAGTTGACGTTGTGTAATCGAGTTTCCATAAATATGTCATTTTTGTTCTGACCCCGTTCAGAGTATGATATGATTCATCTGAAAGCAACTCTTCGATTCTTTCTTCATAGAGTTTGTCAGGCCGATTCTGGATTTCATAAGGTATTTTTGTTGTTAACTTTCATGGCCATAAGTCGAAGACATGCTTCTGTTACTGTCGATCTGTGTGAAGGTACTTCAAGCTGTTGCAAATTCGTAGTGATATAATGATTTGTCTTCATTTTGAGACTGGAAACTTGTAAAGTCTGATTCGATATATTGCGCTTATTCCTAGATGTACTCGCACTCACTTGTAAAAGTTAATATCATGAGATTGAGAATCTGAAGGAAGGTCCTTGAGAAGTAAGAATTTTTTCCTCTCCCGATTTTTCATACGATTTGAGAGAATATGAATTACCATTTGATAGATTCAAGAGACAACAACTACCCTGCATGCGTGATGGATAAATGTTCATTTCGAGCTTCTTCTTCAGTTTCCTCTCCTCGTGTCTCCAAAGTAAGAGAATCGAGCTGAGTATCTGTTCATAGAAATGGCAAATCAGTTGATCTGTCCCAAGATGTCACTGCGAAAAAAAATTATTATCAGTGACACCTTTCTCAATTCAGATGTGGTTGAATAATACAAAAAGTATAGAGAATATAAAATGTTCCGATATTTAACTATTTGATACAGTGGATGTATAGGAAACGAATCTGTTCCCGTTGTCAAATCAAATCAGGGAACATGTTTCCCATTGCGAATACTGACTATTTCTACTTTTCAGTTGAAATTTGACATTGATCATGACAGGGCTACTGTATCAGAAAGCTGAGTTCTCGAATATTTTATATTTTTCATACTTTCTGTGATATTTGTATAATTCTAGAACATTTGAATTCAAACAAGGTGTCACTGATAATTTTTTTTTAGGTTCCTGCGAGTGAAATTTCATTCTGCAGTGACATCTTTGATCCGATCAACTGATCTGTCCTTCCTTTATACAAACAAATAATTATCCCAATTCTCCTATTTCACACGAGGAGAAAGAAAATCATATTAAACTATTCTCCTGGCTATTACCACGCTGGATATGGATTTGAAACGATAGTTCTGTGGAAACCACACAAGAAGGGTGGATTTTTCATCTCAATCATTCAATTAATTATTGGAATTATATCTGTATGGTAGAATCATGAAAATCTTCGAGGAATGGAATCTCAGAAAAACGAGCCTGAAGGACACAAAAATTCAGAATTCGAAAATCCGTTATCCACCCTGATTCATAATGCAGAATGATGATCGATATTTCAATTATATGGATATATGAATTCTAAGAAGAGTCTACCCTTCCTGAATGAAAATTCACATCTTTTTCAGTGAACATCCACCAAGATTCCCATTGAAAATGATTTGCAGTGTGTTTACGGAATATATTAATATAATCTTTCAAAATTTTCATTAATGAACATTTCATTCTCTATTCATCATATACTTCTGCTTGCACCAGTGCTGGTAACTTAGCTCACGGTGATATCAGCGAAACCACTGCTCTGATAGCCTTCTGTGGCAAATATCTGATGCGCATGAGTGCCCAATGGCAAGCCTCTGCTCGCCCAATATTGCACGTGGTCGGCGAAGTTGACTGAGCCGGACACCTGACCGAACCCCTTCTTCGGGGTTCGCACGCTGAAATATTGATCGAAGGATTGGGTTCCGATGATCGAAGGTGCATTGGTGCGCCTGCATTTGCGAACTTGATAAGTGGCACCCCCACTGGTGAAACTGCCTTCGTCAGTGCCTCCTGGGCAGTTGAGTGGGCTGTAAGAGCCGTAACTCTCCACCACGTAATACTCTATCAGGGGGTTGGTGGTCCAGCCGTAGAGTGACAGGTAAGAGTTGGCATATTCGTTGATGCCGTAATAACCCGAATAGTTCACTGTCCGCCAACTGCTGCCGGGGTTCCAGCCTTTACCGCCTACCCAGTTGTTGGTGCTAGTGGTCCAATTTCCAGCGTAGCGACCGCCTGATTCTAGGGTGAAGGTAGCGCTGCCACTATCTTTCCAGAATGCATAGTAGTACCCATTGTTATAGCCGATCTCATTATTGTACAGCACTTTTTGGCTATCCACCAATGATACACACAGTATTACGACGGGTATTAAAAATTGCATGGTTGTTTCCAGCTTCTCACTCACTACTCAATTTGATTCTGATATACTACGGATTTATATGTCTCTCAAACCTCAATTTAGGCCAAACACTTGATTTATGATTTCGTTGATTATTATTATGTGACATCTTCAGAAAAACAATTGCGTTATCAGTTCGAGAAGATTATGAAAATTGACTATGCCTCTGCTTATCTTGTTTAGAATCTGAATAAGATTAACTGTTATCAGGATATGGTATATCAATCACATATTTCACTCAAGAAATCAATTAATGTTTATGGCAAAAAATTATTTCTATTTATTTATTATCTGAGACAATTCAATGTTGAGATAAGGGACATTCTTTCAAGAAAATATGTCAGGATTTCAAATTGGTTTACAGATATTGTCGAGGACTAATATTTACGAATAGCATAATGACATTTCGATAAGCACACAGATTGGTACATATGATAAGTACTATTGATAATAAAGGACAAATAACCCTTTCTGAATACGCTTCTGATTATATTCGGAGAATGATATATATTCATTGAGTTATGTTGATCATCATATATGTCATTTGCACAGGTGTTTATGGGCATCAACATTTTGTCTGGAATGACGACGGAAATACATCAATCAAGAGCATATGTCATCAAAATCAAACAGAACAAATACCTGGAACGTTCAGGAATTGTGAATGACAAACAATATGGCTTTGCCACCAGAGATCAACTGTGGACTTACTTGCCTAAGTCACGCATATTGTGAAGTAACTTGCAGCAGATAGACACAAAATAGATGAATTCTCCAAAGTTGTAGCATGTAAATTTTCACTACTGTATATTTTGTCTGATTCTTTCAGATTTGTGAGTCTTGTATATTATTCTATACTGCTGAGCACATCTGACACGATATTTTGTCGTAATGTCATGGTTAACATTTTCCAATAACATAAATTGAACTCAATCTGCTTTATATTATTCAATTATTCTCGAACCTGATATGTGGATACTCACCTGAGATTTCACACTGTACATAAGAAACATACTATTTCAATCAAAATTAAAAAAAAAAACATGATTATTTGAAGTATACTATATAATAGTACATATCGTTACAGTAAAACAGATAATATTGGTTTAGTATATTAAGGTAGGTATGCACTAGGTCGATTTGTTCTATTATGACTTTTTTTTCTAACATTCAAACCACGCCCACAAGCCCTCTGTCTTCGCAGTGAAACTGAAATGTATTAATGTTAACTGGTCATAATATGTAAGATAGTATGCCTTTATGTAAACGTGGGTGGAGATTTTTAGATATTTTCAGATATTTTCAGATAATTCTAGATATTTTTAGATATTTTCAGATATTTTTAGATATTTTTAGATATTTTAGATATTTTTAGATATTTTCAGATATTTTCAGATATTTTTAGATATTTTAGATATTTTCAGATATTTTTAGATATTTTTAGATATTTTTAGATATTTTTAGATATTTTTAGATATTTTTAGATATTTTTAGATATTTTTAGATATTTTTAGATATTTTTAGATATTATGTTATGGAGAATCTCAATACTCATATTTGATAAATTTCATATTTGATTGTACTCGTAATTATTACTTCAGTGATGCCACTGTTTATTCACATTCATTTTGAAATCTGTTCCTATATATCTTTTTATAGATCTTGGTGAATAAAAATATTATTATTATTATTATTATTTTAAATTCATATAATTCCAGTCACGACCCTGCGGCCTCCGACGTCACGCAGAGTCGTGCTGGATAAAATCCAGTGACTACTCCTCACAACCTGTGAGGTGAGTAATCACTGGGACCAAGTACCGTGTGCCCTGAGTAGACGCAATGATCCTAGTATGACGGCCTTCTGCATTCCACCAGCCAGGATGTGTGCCTTATCACGGCACGCTGGGATTTTCTGGATCTCCGAGAGCAGCGTGTGTCGTGTGCCTCCTAGGGAGCCGATAATCAGGATGACCAATTCCACAGAATGGTCTGGATAGAGCCGGCGGAGTTCGAAGAGAAGATCTCGATATTTAGTCCGTTTTTCCTCCTCCTTCAAAACGATGTTCGGTTCGGCTGGCGCCGAAAACTCGATCACGAACATCGCTTTGGTTTGATGGTCGAGGAGGACTACATCAGGCTTGTTAGCTTGAATTTGCCTGAGGGTGGGGAATGAGAAGTTCCAATAAATTCGGCACCTCTCATTCTCCACAACGGACTCAATATCCCCCGGAGCATAGGGCAGCACTGGGGTCTCGTCTATTCCGTACGAGTGCCTCAAATGGTAGTAGAGCACTCGTAATGCCGCATTGTGTCTATGGATATAGGCCGAGACTGCATACACCGTGCAAGAGGACAGCAGGTGCATGATTGTCTCGGGCGCCCTGCGGCAGGCCCTGCAATTTGTGTCAGGGACCTCCATACCCATGACACGGCTACGGTAGACGAGAGTGTTGAAAACCCCATCCTGGCATGCCATGATGAACCCCTCTGTTTCCGATTTGAGCCCGCCTGACTTCAGAAAAGCAAAAGTCAGTTCTTTGGATAAGCCCCGGTCTTCAATGGTCTTGAAGTAGACCGAATGCATGGGCTTATCCATGTGAAGCTGCAGGAGCTTTCTCACTTCTGCAGCTTTGATGCGGGCCTTCCTCCGAGCAGGCTAGCTCAGTAACTGAGTCCTGAGCCTCGCGCTCGGAGTCGAAAATCAGAGACAATTCATCGGCTGCTCGACGTGCTGCCCTGAAAAGAAAAGCTCCTACTCCTGCCTCTTCATGGGTTTTAACCATTTGCAGAAGGGGGTCGGAACTCCTGATGACTTTGCAGGCGCCATCCAGAACCATTCTGTTATGGAGATACTCCAAGCTCAAGAGTCCACGGCCACCCTGGTCTCTAGGTATGTATAACCGTGGAACGGACGAATTTGGATGCAGACTCCTATGGAGATGCATCATCTTGCGAGTACTTACGTCAAGTTGTCGCAGCTCGACTTGAGTCCACTTTATCACTCCAAATGAGTAAAGTAGGATCGGAACAGCAAGCATGTTAGTCGCAGCGACTTTGTTCTTCCCCGACAGTTCTGACGACCAGATCTGTCGGAGCCGCTGCCGATACTTGCTGCGGAGAGCGTCTTTTACCCGTTGTGCCTCCTGGATGTGAGAATTTGTTCTGACTTCTCAGCAGCAATGAGTCCATCATCTACGTATACTGCCAAAATGACAAAACCATCAGATTCTTTCCTCTCTGCGGAACCATTTTGTTCTGGCGTATAAGAAATACTTCGTTGATGAATGATCCCATGCTTCATGAGGAGTGAACTTGTTTCACTATTGCAGAATTCCTTTCCGTTATCTGTTCTCAGAATTTTGACTGGAGATTTATTATTTGACATGTCCGTCAAAAATTTCTTCATCTCGTGTGTGACTTCATCTTCATGTTTGATGAAGTAAACGAATCTATAGTGGGTGAAATCATCTTTGAAAAGGAGAAAATACCTGGAACCACCAAACGAATTTTCTTCCATGGGACCACATAGATCTGAATGAATCAATCGACCTCTTTCTGTTGATCTGTGTTCGCTCTTCTGAAAGGTAATTCATGTTGTTTACCATACAAACAACCATCGCAGAACTGCTTACTTGTTCCAGAGGTCACTTCGATTCCAGAATTTCTCATGCCATAATTTCAGATTCAGGTCTAGATTCTGCTGTCTTGCCAAATGGTTTCCTAGCATTGGAACTTCGAAATCTAATCGATACAGTTTATCAATTCTATGACCTGCAACCACTACGACACCGTTTTTCAGGAATTCACACTTTTTTCATCAGATTGGAGAGTTAGTCCTTTTGCTAGTGCTGAACTCACCGAGAACAGATTCAACGATAATTCTGGAACAGAATGGACACTGTTTGTCTGATTCTTGATTCTCAACATAAAGTTTTATATTGATATTGCCAACTCCTACTGCCTTTATGAATGTGCCATTAACTATTCTAACATTCTTAGGATCTGCAAAAGACTGATTTTCGGCAAACCATTTTCTTCAGGAGGTCATTTATGGTCAGTAGCTCCTGAATTCAAAAACCATGTGTCTTTTTCTGCTCTTCTCCGCTGGATTTTTATGAGAGCTTGAAAATCATCTGCTGAAGAATTTGCCAAGTGACTGTTCTTTGAAGTATTCGCATGTTCGGGATAACATTTTCTTTAACTCCTTCCATAATCTTCTTGTCGTTTGTCTGCTTTCATTTTATATCTGCATTCGTTCTCCCAGTGCCCTTTTCTCTTGCAATAATTACATATTCCTGGTTCTCTCTTGGAATCGATATCAGCTTCGTGATACTGCTTCTTTCCAATCAAAGCATTTTTGTCTTCTGTGAGGGATAAATCTTGCCGAGTCTCTTGATTCTTTTTATCTCCTCCATAAGATTTCCATGCCGTATGAAAATGTTGAATTGTTCTGGTATTGTCATGAAAACCTTGGTTATCATCATTGAGTCGGACATATTTTCTCCCAGCAAACACAATTGTTGACGAAGGTTCTCCAGTTTGGCTAAATGGGTAGACATGTTGTCATCTGCAGATTTCTGGAACCTATAGAATTCGGACTGCAATCGATGAATACTTGCTTCGGATTTGTGTTCATGTAGTTGGCATAATTTATCCCACATTTCTTTACTGCTCTTGTAGCTCATCAGATGTATGAATTTCTTGGTGTCTATACTGAAAACTATTATTTTGTGTGCTCTACTGTCACTTTTATTCCATTTTTTGGCTTCGACTCCTTGTCCTATTCCACTGGGTTTCTTTTTTTCTCCTGATACAATTTCCCACAGCTCAGCTGCCTTCAGATAGATAGTGATAAGAAATTTCCACTGCCCCCCAATTATAGTTTTACAATTTTTCGATTTTTGTTAATTCGATTTCCATACTTGCAAAGATTAACCAGAACAGATTGAATAGTTCTTCAGAACATGTCTGGGCTCATAACCTGTTTATAATTGGGTTTTCTTGGAATAAAAATTGGACCAGAAAAATATTTTGGCAACTTCAAAATATTTATTTACACAACTAAAGAAACAAAACATTCACTGAAAATATACAAATGTGATTTCAAGCATATCTGATAATACAGAGTGCGT